ATGGTCTGGACTGGGGACCCACCAGAACTGGCCTATATTGTGGACTAAGGACCCACCAGAACTGGCCTATTGTTTCGACTGGGACCAAACAGAACTGGCCTATAGTTTGGACTGGGACCAAACAGAACTGGCCTACAGTCTGGGCTAGGACCCACCAGACCAACCTACAGTGTGGGCTAGCACCCACCAGAACTGGCCTATAGTCTGGACTGGGACCCACAAGAGCTGGCCTACAGTCTGGGCTAGCACCCACCAGAACTGGCCTATATTGTGGACTAGGGACCCACTAAAACTGGCCCACAGTCTGGACATGGTGCTGCTGTAATGGACTCAAACCAAAACAGAAACACGGACCCAGCGCTGCCAACGCTGCAGCATCCCTTCGCAGGGCCTCACCTGCCAATAGCCACGGCAGGCGGTCATTTTTGCCCGAATATAATCGCAAATAATCCCTCGATACGGAGCACCAGGTGGCCATTACATGTCGACAACAGATATACGGCCACGCGCCATTATGCTTTCGTCCAGTCCACGGCTTTTTTTTATTCGCCTTCCACGGCTCCCACACGCCTTCCCCTCCCAGCGTTTGTTGTTTTGTCAGCTTTCTTTACAAGCCGACCGCCATTCTGGACTCCCACAGACCTGCTAACGCCGTGTTTTTCCGCATGGGCCGCTTTGCTTTGCTTTGCTGCGGACGTTACGTGACGGTTGCCAACAGGCTGGATGCTAACGGTCACCATGGAACGGCCGTTGGTCAACTGTCAGCACATTTGAAAATTTTAATAAAAAAAACGGCAGCCAGAAAAACGCAGAGACTCCGCGTATAGTCTTAATAAATGTCTAAATACTAACCTTTAGCGGGATTATATCCGAGCACCGGCCGACTGGAACTGCCCCCGCTGCCTCCTCCTGGATTTGTGGATCCTGAACGGCTATCGAGGGCGGTGACAACGCTCTGCCACCTGGTCACGTGACTTTGGGGAATCTCCGGTCATCATAAAGAAAATTATATCAGAGCAAAAGTGTCGTAATGCCCAGCTGTTTTCCCTGACGTCGTTAAAGCGATGAGAGCAAAAGCGTGGCGTAAAATGTGTTTTTTGCTGGAACGCCACAGAAAGTTCTGGAAATGTCAGGAAAAGGCCCCCGCTCTACGTAACAGCAGTCAGGCGTTTTCTTATCATTACTGTTTACGTTGACTTCCTGAAGCCTCGTGGTTAATTTATTCTTATCTACAGACATAGTTGAGAACACCCCAGAGTCTAAGATAAAACTCCACATAAGACTGAATGAGTCCACAAAGAGAAGATGGACGGTAAAAAGTAATAATCAATAGTAATCATCAGTAATAATCAATGATAATGATTTATTATTGATCACAGGCTAATGCTTATTTAGGAAGTATCGCGTGGGTCAATGTCACGATCATCACTAATTTCTGGACATAAAAAGAAATGGAATATATTAGAGAATTAACACACTCACACATGCACACACACACAAAAATAACAGAATGGAAACCTTTCAATTCAACTCCACTTTATTATAAAACTTTGCAGTGTTTGACATTACACAATATAAAACACATTCATAACATAGATAGAGCATATTTACTTTTTGCAAACATAGGAACAAGGAGGCGTATTGCTGCAGCAGTCATATGAAAAATAATTAATCATTACAGACATTTAATGAAAAGGAATTTAAACACCAGACTGCATATAATACAATTCTTTTGTTTCCATCTGATTCTGTGAAGTGATGTTCTAAATGTGCTAATAGGTAACATTTTCCACAGAAAAAACGCTGGCAGCTGGGACGGAAAATAACTTAACTCCTACGTATCATTTGTAAAAATATTCTTAGGAATATTTAGAATCTGTAAAAGACAACTAGAGGCAGGAAACCTTATTACATGTGGCCGTCTTATGTGGGTGACAATCTATCATAGTGGTACAAATCGCCCCTAAACACACATCGATCAAAATATCAGAAAGATATTCAGACACAACCTTAGTGAGTCCAAGGACTTTAGTTTCTCTTAGAATAAGAGGCTTCACAGCATCTCTCTGGTGATCCTGGATAGTCTTTAGAGATACAGTAACACTAAACTTCTGCAAATAAAACCCCCCATTCATATATGTTTCTGAATCAGAATTTGATAAGTGCACTAATCATCCCAAAAAATTGAATCTCCATCTCAAATATTGCAGACAGTACATGTAAAAGCAATCTGTGATGGTGAAACCTAAACAAAACAAATATGGTTTCATACTAAATCTTGGTTTGCCAGTCAATGACAAACTATATTGTGGCTATAGGAGCACATTTTGCGGCTGCTAATGGTTGTACGGGCGGTTTTGAAGCAGATTGTCCAGCTCTGTCTTGTTGATGGTCCCGTAGGCCTGGGAATAGCTTCCCAGTTTGGCTCGTGGGTCACCGGCCGCAGCCACGTTACAGTTATTCTGAAACACCTTCTTGCTGAACCGTGGGGGGGGCCGGGCCTCCCGGACCTGAGGACTGGATCGCTGGTTCTGCAGGAGAAGATGGAGGCCAGGTGTTATCAAGATATCCAGCAGGTTCTAAGCTTTTTAAAAATATTCTTTCTTGAATTATTTTTAAAAAATCTTGCATTTAATATAATTTACACGTATCATTTTAGATCAGAGTTTCCCTCTTTTGAGGGGTAATGGACTGACCAGGCGGGCTGATGTAACATGCAGCCCAGCGGACAGAGGAGCCTCTTCCTTGCGGACTAGTGGGTTATTCTGGATTTGGTTTAGGGTCAAAGAGAAGGACCTGTTATGGGGCACAGGGGCTGAGCGTCCACGCGGTTGGGTTTGGTCTGTAGACTGATGGAGAAAGAGTCAGAAAAACAGTTTAGAGACCAAAAGTGTGGGAAACAAAATGGCTGTGCTAAAGGCAAAGTGCAGTTGTAAAATAAGAAAAATTAGACTATGTCACCAGAGGTTACAGAGCTGATTATTAGTGCAGAGAGGTCTGCTGCTCACCAGGTTTGTGGCGGCGCCCTCTGCTGGTGGTGTGGTGGCTCCTCCATTATTGACCGGTCCCACCTGCTTCCTGCTGGCTGAGTAAGAGGGGCAGTACTGAGGAAAACCAGTCGGAGCCCGAACAAAACCATCTAAGTGACGAGAAGACAGAGTTGGCAGACTGAGGTTTAATCTATGTCTGAAAGGTTCGGTTGTTCTAACATAATATTTCAGTTTCTCAACTGCAGCAAAAAAAGTTTCAAAACAACTTTGAAGAATTAAGACATTATTTGCACCTGACTCCCCCCAAAAAAGGCAGAAGTAGGTTTACACATACAGTGGGGGAAATAAGTATTTGACCCCTTGCAGCTTTTGCAGGTTTGCCCACTTTCAAAGAATGCTTATTTTTCCTCATCAGATGGTTATCAATTTTTATAAATTCATATGATGTGATTTTCTGGAATTTTCTTTGGGATTCTGTCTTTCACTGTTAGAATGTACATATGATTAAAGTTATAGATCATTGCATTCTTTGTAAGTGGGCAAACCTGCAAAATCAGCAAGGGGTCAAATACTTATTTCCCCCACTGTATATTTAACCGGTATTAAGAACATGAAGAGTCTAAAGTCTCATACTTTGGACGTGTGTGATGGGGTTATATGAAGGTTTTCCTGAACTGTAACCAGCTCCTGGGCTTGCCTGCTCCTCAGAAGAGGAGGTGGAGGCATTTAAAGCCCGAGGTTTGGTGCCCGCTGGATGAGAAGGCTCCTGGTTTGACTCGGTGGCCGGCTGGGGCTGAGGTTTCCCCTCATGGGTGCTGTCTCCATGGCAGCCTGCTGCCACTGGGCCCTTCTCTCCTTTATCATGTCTGACGGTGAGCTTCTCGCAGCCGCTCGCAAAACCTCCATCCTTTGGCAGTGTCAGAATCCCCTCATTAGTTCTTTTCTCTAGTATCATCTGCGAACAAAGGAGAGACAGGTTTGACTAAACGCTGATACATGAGAAAGTATTGCTGTTCCCCTCTGAGGCTGATGGGCTCCAGGTGAGAAGGGACAGGGTTGTTTTGGTACCTCGTACAGCTTGTTGCGGTACTGGATCACAGAAAGCTGCACGTCATCGTCCACCGGCAGAACCACGTCGTGGCGGAGCGCCGGCTCCTTCGATGGGTTGTGGAACCTCCAGGAAAAGATGACCCAGTTGTGTTAGAGCATGTAAGGGAGACATATCATACCCTATTTCAACAAGTTAAACTAGTTCCCTGGTGTCTTAATGTAATGTCTGTGACAAGCTTTGGTCAAAATCCCACAAGGATGAAGCCCAATTGCAGTTCAGTCCCCCTGCCTAACCCTAACCCTAACCCTAACCCTAACCCAAAACAGCCCTGTTTAGAGCGCTCGCTTTGGAGTGCCTGTCTCTTTAAATGCAAATGAGACACAGGAAGTCCACCCACTTCTCCCGGGAGGTGTGCCCACGTCGGCACGATAACGCTACCATGACAAAAGCTGAACGTGAACTCTAAGAGAAACATGGCAGCTGAAGGAAACTTTTCGTTCCAACCTTATATGTTTGAACCAGAGTCAGACCCTGAACAAGAAGGAGCTATCGAAGAAGTTGTTCAATGTAGACGGCAACAAGACGTTTCTGAATGGCGGAGCACAGATAGGGGAGTAAGCTGAGGGGGGGGGCAACATGCAGGTGAAAGGCTGGAATATTATAATGAGCTAGAGCTAATGACGTCAGAAACTACCCACTCCTGAAACCTCCTGATTTATCTCCTGGATTCAGACTGAGGCGGCTCACACTTTGCCTGCTGATAGGCCCTCCACAGTCCCAAATGTACATAATCAAATTATTAAAAACTTGCTTTTGCATAATATGTCCCCTTTAATCAAAAGCTCACAATGACACAATACTTCAACCACTAATATCTGACAATCCACATTCACACAAATGGCTGTGTTTATATAAGAAAAATTACCTGACATTGACATTACTGTTCAACAAACCAGCGAAAGAAAACATTAACAGAAAAAGAACCAAAAAAAAGTGCTGAGTCATTCTTTAGTCTGTAATACCTGGATACATAGGGGTGTTGGAGGGCTTGTTCTGCTGTCAGCCGCTTGTCTGGGTTGAAAACTAACAAACGACTGAGCAGGTCGAGAGCATCACGAGGGACGGATGGTTGGAGGAGATCCTCCAAAGGCACCTGTGGTCTAGAAAAGGAATAAAACAGCGAGATCCAGAGTGTTACATTCCCAGTAAAGCTAACCAAAGGCAGACCTATGACTCAGATGGTTTATTCTGTGAACATTTAAAGTTCAGTTCATCAACACATCTTTTGCAGAGTGGTCTGTTTATGCTGCTGTTGCTGTGTTTCCAATTTTGATCCATTACGTCACAGAAGTAATCACTGTTTCTGCGTCCTGAGCATTTAATCAAGCTCACCTGCACTTTCCCTCTCTGATAATAGTCTCCCCAGTGGAGGGAAGGAAATTAGTTTCCGTCATTTGCCAAACTAACAAGGTCAGAGAGCGTGAACAGTGTTTGTACATAAGAACTCATACATATCTGTGTATATATATGTGTATATATCTGTGTATATATATCTGTCTGCCTTTTACAACCAACTTACTTCAGCAGCATTCTTTGAATGACAGAAGATCCATATTCAGACCTGATGGCGAGGATGTCTGTAAATGCAGAAGTATCGAATCAATCCAAACTAAAGGAAAAACACCGGGAACTGGAACAGATCTAATGCTGACCCCGGGATTCACCTTCTGGGCTGGGATGAGGGATGGCACTCATTATCTTCTCTATCTGGTTGATGGTAGATGTTCCAGGAAACAGGGCTTTTCCCAACAGCATTTCTCCCAGAATGCAACCAAGACTCCACATGTCCACACCTTTAGTGTACCTATGAACAAGACATTCATTCATTCATTGGCTATTACACTTTGACGCTCTGTGGCTTTTGACATAAGAAATCTGACCCTTTGGAGGACCAGTGTGAAGCATTTAGTGGCACATTAAATCAATTAATCAGCATTTGTTGTTGTGATGTGGCGCTATATAAATAAAATTGAATTGAATTTAATTAATTTTAATTTTGTAGAGTCATTGTCTGAACGTGTGTTTGGACTGATTTTGTATTTTGTGATTTTGTGTTGTTTGGTCTTCCTGCCTCAGGGCGACAGGTGTAAACTAGCAACTATGCTATAATCTGGCTCATTTACAATCTGTATGAGATTGTTCATTAATGTGCACTGTCCTGATTAAATAAATAAATAAATAAATAAAATACTGAAAGCATCCAATGGTTGTGCTTACAGCCAAAGCATGTCTCCCGTTTCAGGTTTTTGGGAAGATCTATGGTGGTCAAAGGCATTCATAAAAAATGCAACAGGCCATCTTAGATTTCAAACTATGAAAACACATTTCTGCTGATAGAAGCCTTTAAATCCAACACACTGGTCTGATTATCCCTGTTTGGTGTGACGGGAAAAACAAGCAGCAACGAGAAGCAATCCACATAATGTCAACAGACGGTGAGCACAGCTCATACCTGGAGGATCCCAGCAGGATCTCGGGGGCCCGGTACCACCTCGTGGCCACGTACTCCGTTAGTGCTGGATTCCCACTGTCTTCTTGGATCTGGTTGATGGACCTGGCCAAACCAAAGTCGCACAGCTTGACGACGCAGTCGGTGTCCAGGAGCACGTTGGACGGCTGGGGACAGAAAACAGGCAACAGAGTCCGTCACACAGACAAAGAAACATTTTAGTTTTCACTGGGGATGAAACAGGACAGACAGAAGAACAAAACAGGATGTTTATTTCCAAATGCTCCCCACCTTTTGGTCCCTGTGGATAACATTTCCTGAATGTAGGTATTTGTTTGCTTTGAGGAGCTGGTACATCACATAGCGTTTGTGGATGTCTTTTAAGAGGGAGCCCTTCTTTATCACAGC